TTGCACAATTATTTGATAAATTATTTCACTGTAAAAAGCGTAGTGTGTTGTCAACTTAAGAAAACCTATTACAACTCATAATAATTTCTTTCTGCTATTTTTATAACTGCGATCTCAAATATGCTATATTTTAACACCTCCCATCAAGTGGAATCGCCTCCATTATGGCTTAGTTATCGGATTAGGTTTATGAATTTAATTTTAAATATAACCGTCAGTTCCCCTACGAAGCGTGATAACGAAGTGCCCCTCCCTAAACTCAAATAAAGCTTCGATTTTAGAAAAATCTTATCAAGTTAATCCCCCAAGCATGATAACGGATTGCCTCTTACCCAAACTCGGTGATGACTTAGATTTTAAATAAGATTTATTAATACAGCTTATTAGGCCTATTTTAGATAAAACTAATTAATACCTATTAACTTACTAATGAGAACCTCTTAATATAACCCAGTAGACTTATTAATAAACCTAAGGCTTATTATTATAAACTATTAGACTTACTAATATAGCCTATTAGGCCTATTAATATAACCTAGTAGACTTATTATTAAAGCCTATTAGGCTTATTGATATAACCTATTAGACTTATTAATATATTATATTAGGCTTATTAATACAAACTATTAGACATATTAATATAGCCTATTAGGCATTTCATGTAACCTATAAGGCTTATTACTACAAATTTTCATAATATCTTTATTATCTTAAATCGTAAAAACTACCAAACATGATGACGGAATATCCTCCTTTAACTTGTAATATTTATCATTATAAATCGTAATGATGATTTTACTTACTAAAAATGAACAATAGTAGAAAAAAGCGATCTTAATTTTATTTTATTTTTATGCAAAGTAAAACTGTAGCAGCTTATTACTTCTAGGTCTCATCACATTCCTGTGAGCCTTAGAGAAAGAAGTACTTGCTGCTAGAATGAGTGCTGGCCACAGAAATCTAATTATTATTTAGATTTCCGTGGTGTTGGCAGACTTAACATGTTCTCGTATTGTTTTTTGATTGCTTAGATACGCAGGTTTCATCGCGAATCTTTCCTTTACCGACGAGCTAGTGTTATTCAACACTTTAAATTGCATTAAGCGAGTTTTGTGGTGCTACTGGAAATAAAACTTGGTTTGCTCGTGTACTTTAAACAGTAGTTTTTTTATAGGATAGGGTGACAAACGAACACACAGTCCACCTGATGGTAAGTGGTTGCTGTGGCCCATAGACATCTACATCTATACTCGATTACGAATCAAAATGCAGATGCGTTGTCACCCGTGAGGACTAAGATGGAATGCCTCGTTTCCAGTAAAAAGGGTCTCCGGTTCTCTACAATCACCATACGAAACACAGCAGCATTAAGCTACCATTTTACGCTGGTATTCTGTGAGAGCGTGGTCCTTCCCCGGTCGAGCTGACCCTTTCGTGCTACAACTAATAATAATAATAATAATAATAATAATAATAACTGCAGCATGGCTCTACCACGTATCAAAGTAGTGGTTTTATTATGAGCCCTTATACTCTGATCTACCATGACTCAGTATATTTTATGTTATCTGGTATCAATTATCTTTGGGTGTACGTAACTTTTGATATTATTTTAATCTCGTTAATATAAATATTCATCATTATCATTCATAACATTTCATTAAAGGTCTTTCAATTTTTTTAAATAATCACAAAAAAACTATGGCTTCTTAAGTCGCCCTAGGCTTTAGACAGGCCGTCTTCATCTAAGCCTTTGTATATAAATAGCTGAGTCCCTGATGGAATATATGCTATAGGTGTAACCGCAGTTTTTTTATTTGTGTTAATACTAAAAAATATCTAATAATTTTCATAATTTTTTGAACTTTCTTAGAAGACATTTTCGCTTTTAAATTGGTCAATTTATAGTTAAAAATCGTCACCAAAAATTGGTTACTAAATGTGCATTAAATACTTTTCCAATTGTGTTCACGGACGTTACGTAACGGAAGAACATTGAACGGAGAAACATTTTTTGTGTTTTATAATTATAGTATAGATGTATAAAACAAAGTTGTTTGTATATTCAGTATTTATAGGTACTTTAAGGTCAGAGTAAAATCTTTTCACTAGTTTCGAGGGTATTTCAAGATAGGCTTGACAGTCCTATTCAGAGGCATTGGATCCTAATGGATATGGATGGGACATTCAAGTTTCTTAGCTGAAATCTTAACTGGTTATGCGCGGTAAAGTCACACTCTATTTTATAATAGCTGCAACAAGAATGTGTCGGCTCGAGTGAAGAAAGACTACTCCCGTACATAACCAGCATGAAATACAATACTTTTTTACTGGTAACGAGGCCTCTTAGTTCTCAGAGATGGCAACTTATCTGCATTTCGACTCTTAATCAAGGATATTTATGTCATCGTTAAATGGACTAGTGATCGTATGTCACCCATACTTCTATAAAAAAAATAACACGTTTATAGAATGACTTCTTATCTATTCTTATCTACGCGAATTCGAACGCGGTTTTATTGCGTTTAATTTCTTGATTAACTCCTGATATTTCAGAACCCGCGGCGGGAACTCTCCATCCCCCCAAAATAAGTAGAATAACCGCGATACAATCCGTAAAAGTAATTTTATTCAACATTTAAAGTAGCAATTACATACTTCATAATTTTTTAATAAACATTTTTCGTTCGTATCGTCTAATAGTTATGAGTGCAGCCGTGCAAATACGATCGAGTTACGCGTGTAGTACAATATTTATTGCTTTAACAGCATTTTTTCGTTTTTGCGAATAGAAAAAAAAGAAATATTTGATAAAATTGAGTTAGTTGTGCGTTAGAAGATTTAAAGTATCATAAATGTCTACTTATGTCAGTGACGATATGAGATATACGCTTAAGATATTGCTGTATTTAGCTACAGTAGCTCTCACTACTATAATCAAAAAAACTTAATTTAAGCAAAGATACGATCTAAACTTTGTAGTATAATTTGCTTTAATTAATAAATTTATTTAATCAAACATACGAAAACATGACTGTTTTGAAAGGTCTAACCAGTAGCGGTTCATTTGCTGGATGGTTATAACATGCAAATTTTGTTGTATTACACTAAAAAATTCGTATGTATAGCTACCCTCAAAACATTACCTCATTGTAATGAAGTTCGAATTACAATTAAAATAAATATGACTTCTGTTATATTTGTCAAAAATACAAAAGCACATATCAATTAATGTGAGAGAAATTATTTTAAAAAAATCTATAATTAATTATTCAGACCGTCCCCAAAAGTACCGGGTAAACCTAAATTTACTAGTTCTTCGGGCATAACACTGTGATAAACAGTAAAACGCCTAGATGATAAAAATATAAATTACTCGTGTTAGTGCCGATTTAGGACAAAATAGCCAGACCAGTTCTTCTACAAATCATCCTTGAATTAGCTAAAGCATAAAATAGAGACTCTATCAGTTGTTTATATTGATACTTTAAAAATAATTAATTCCTTTGCATAATTTGGACATTCTTGAATATAGGGTTGCCACATACAAGAGTTTAGAAAAAACTTAAAAAATATGCATTGATCATGAACTGTGATAATTCTATTTAGAATACTAGATCAACAGGTCTTAAAGGTCTTAAAATAATTATATGAATTTAACTTAAATATATTGATAATATCGATCTAATTACGTCTGCAAAATTTCTGATAATTTAGATGTCCGGAGGCAGGTTCAAATTTAATTTCTTTATTCATTAATTCATCACAGTCTATCAAAATACCCCCCGTACATATATACACCCCCATAAATTGTGTCACACCACTCGTCATATTTGCCAAGTTTAAGTTTGGCAGTTGCATTGGCAACCGTAGTTTTTTTATAATTTTATTGTTTTTATATCTTGTTTCGTTTCTCTTTGTCGTCTTTTACGACATTCACGGAATGATATAGGATTGTGAGTTTTCCAACGCCGCCACTACACGGATAAAAGTGATTTTTTTAATAGAATAAGGGTGACTAACGAGCACACAGTCCACCTGATGGTAAGTGGATGCTGTGGTCCATAAACATCCACATTTATCCTCGATTAAGAATCAAAACTCTGATGCGTTGTCAACCCTGAAAACCAAAATTCAATGCCTCGTTTCTAGTAAAAACGGGTCACCGGATCTCTACACTCACCATACGAAACACAGCGGTATTAAGCTGCTACTTGTCTCCGGATCTCTACACTCGCCATACGAAACGCAGCGGTATTAAGCTGCTACTTTAAGCTGGTGTTCTGTGAGAGCGTAGTCTTTTCCCGGTTGAGTCGACCAATTCGTGCTACAATCGTAACATAGCTGCAGCGTGGCTCTACCACGTATAAAAAGTGAATTACTTAATTCCATTACATACACGTACAGGTCAAGTTGATAAAATGTGTTAAAAAGGAATCATATCTTAAAATCCATATCATTTGAAAGTATGATTATATGAAAACAATGATGTATTGGCATAATGAATAAGATTTTTATACTGCACTGGGCTGCGTATGAAAAGGTTTGGATACTCAAAACCAACAGTTTTTTTTTTATAGTACGTGATTTCGAAACTTTCGGCAGCCCAACAAGCTGAAAAACATATAAAACATTCGCACTCTTTAAATGATTATATCTAGATCTATAAAATATTAATATTAAAATTAATTAGTGTTACCTTGTAGGATTTCCAACAAAGGTTATTGTTGAGAAATATAGCATTACTGCCGTAAAATAGTTTTATTTTTAATTTAAAATGATTGTTTTTTCATTTTTTTGTTATTAAATTTTAAAATTTTTGTTTTATATTTTTATTTATTGATCCTACCTTCGTGCTTGAACGTAATTTTATTTTATTGGGACTAAAAACGTTACCAAAAGTATTTTAATTATAAAGTCTAATACTATTTTAATTACACATTCTTGAATGAAGTAAGAAGTTCAAATATCATAAAACTTATTATACATAAGGTACTCACATAATCGGAAAGGCTTTTCATGCCGTAAGGGAACCTCTCTCTGTCGGGCACCAGTCGTCCGCGAGGGTCACGCTCCCTCTCCGGCCAGCAGTCGTCCACGTTGACGTACTCGTAGCCCACAGCCGCGTAGCCCTCGGCGACCAGGATGTCCGTCATCGTGCGGAATAGACGGTCGCTGAATATAAAAAGGCCTCATTTAAAAAGTTTAGGTACACGGTACGGTCTTGGTGATCGCACACTTCTCTAGAGTAAGAAAACCTTAATCTCTGAAGAATTAAAAAAGTAGTTGGCAGACATGTGAAGTCCGTCAGGGAAGTTCATCAATATGATAGCGTTACAGGGATTTATTGAAGGATTATTATTATAAAATAAAACATTTAAGTAGACTATTTACATGTATTAAGATATTGGCTGTCTAGCTTTAAAACTAGACTTATATATTTGACTGTTGACAAAGCTGATAATGGAATACTAGTCTGGCCACTGGAACACTAGTAAGGGACAACCAGCGTAGCAAGATCCCAGTAATTTATGAAAGGCGGATAAAGTTAAGAAATGAAGATATTAATTATGTACATATTAAATTGCACTTTTTTCCTTTGTATCAGTATTATGAAATGTATAAAGTTCATTTATATCTTTAAATATATCTTTAACTTGAATTCAACTACAGTTTTAAAAGGTTTTTTTTTATAGAATAAGAATGACAAACGAGCACAAAGTCCACCTGATGGTAAGTGGATGCTGTAGTCCATAGACATCTACATTTCTCCTCGATTAAGAATTAAAACGCAGATGCGTTATCACCCCTGAGGACTAAGATGGAATGACTCGTTTCCGGTAAAAATGGTCTGCGGATATCTCCACTCACCATACGAAACACAGCAGTTCTGTGAGAGCGTGTCCTTCCCCGGTCGAGCCGACCCATTTGTGCTACAACTATAATATAGACGCACCGTGGCTCTGCCACGTATAAAGACCGATTTACACTTCGACAAGTACAGTAGCGAGTTAACTTGCGAACCTGGCGAGTTAAGTTTGAACCTCGTTTGAACGGCAATAAGCGAGTTAAGTAGCAAGTTAACGATTAAGTTGAACGGGATAGCCAGCTGAGCTATTTTTTGGCGAGTTAAGTGCGAAGTGCTGCCCTCCCGCCAACCGCAACTAAACTCGCCGTTCGTGTAAACGAGCGAGTTTAGTTCAGTGCATAAGTTGACAGGACGCAACGTTTGCGAGCCAAAACGTACAATTGTACTTTTATAATTAAACTTGCCACAAAGTTTGTACGATACTGTTTATTGAATATTTATATGTTTTATATTGAGTTTTAATAATAAAATGGACGGAAGCTATCACGTATAAATGTGTACAGGAGTATTTAGAACACGAATGTTTAAATAATAGTAGAAATTCAAATTGTAAAATCAATTCGAGATGCTGCACTCATGAAAATTCATAAAAACTGCTTTAACAACAACCATTGCTGTTTACAACATACTTCTCAGACTGGATCATTAAATTTTGACGTAATCCTAGAAACATCTTAAACGAAAACCAAAAAAATTCTGTAGTCTTGAAACGTCAAACTCCAACGAACTCTATGAACTGATGTTCTTAACTAAACTCGCCACGAAAACATTGTTTGAACGCTACTGCCCACTTAACCGTTTACTGTCAACTGCCCTGTAACTAAACTCACTACTTTACTTGTTGAATTGCAAATCAGTCTTAAGAGAGGGAGAGGTGTATTGTATTATCCGGAATTATTATAAAATCAAAGCGTTATTGAAAGGTAATATCAGGTCTGGAATATGTTGATTAAAACTACTTTTACGGATTTTATCGCGTTTAATTTTAATTTTAATTATTTTTAATTCCCGACGTTCCGTCGTAAAAGTAGTTTTAATCAATGTGTAGTGTACGCGTAAATATAAGAAATCATTTTAGAATATGTTGTTATAATGTATTGAAATGGTTTTTTGGCGGTAGGTCTATATTCAGAAATGAATGCCTTATGGGCTGTGATGATGAAATGATGATGATTAATATTTTCATGTCATTATCAGTCACTATTTTATTTAAATATCAACACTACCATAGATCTAAAAGCTTAGTTAATTACAGCTGTTACTTAAACAGTCATCATACCAATCTATTTGAACCAACAAACGTATTGATTATCAAGAATTATACATGGTTCTCATTTTTAGTTAGTTACTTGAATATTCATTTTATTTTATTCCCTTCATTGCTTAAATCTTATCAAGTAGTAGTAATTCTTTTTACTAACCTTATACAATTATCGGGGTCATTCTTGCAGTCAGTGTTACACCTAAACCGCTCCCACGCCAGCCAGCCCATCGGCGGCGTCAGAGCCAGACCATTGTCCAGCCCAGATATCTTCCCCAACAGGCAGACTACAAACACAGTCCACAAGCACGATTTCCACGACGCCATCATTATCACAGTTATTATACGAGAAAGGTACAGAAATAAATAACGTTATTTCTCTAAAAATCTTATCCTCATAGTCTTATAGTTCACTGTTTACTGCACAATTTTTTTACGGAGCTGCCGAGTCAAACAGACACTGTCACATTTGAGGTTATGTGTTTCAAAGAGGTCGCTAGAAGAAGTTCTATTGTGTATCCTTGATTCGAGCTCCAGCCGATATCTGTAACAAACGGAAATGTTGGTTAATATTGATAAGTCAGTAAATGTTTTCGATGTCAAATGTCATTTCCCGTTTGTGCTGCTCGCAATGTAAACACACAGCATAAATATATAGGTTTAAAGTACAGTTGTTAGGTCAAGTTAAAGTATATTTAATTATTAGTTTTATTTATTTTTAATCATGATGAAATACAAGATGTATTTCATTCTAGTTGTTTAACTTTAAGGGATTAAATAATTTAAGAAATTGTAGTGTGTTATTTAGTTATAAGGTACAATGGGACTGACATGTTAAAAATAACGTAAGTCCCTAAATGTAATTGTCTATACAAATAAATAAAATTGAAGTGTTTGTTTGTAATGTCAAAATAACAGATTTTTACCAAACACATATGAAAGTATATACGGTACTTATGACAAAAACACAATTTTTAAAATTTCTGTCTGTCTGTTTGTTCCGGCTAATCTCCGAAATGGGTGGACCGATTTCGGCGGAACTTAACAGATAGCTGATGTTATAGGGAGTAACTTAGGCTATTTTTATTTTGGAAAAAGAATTAGGGTTCCGCGCAAAAAAGACCCATAAAATCCAATCGTAATTAATTACATGCGGGCGAATTCGCGGTGAACAGCCTGATTGGTTAGATTTCATTAGTATAATTTAAATTTTTTCATCATTAGTATAATTTAAATTTTAAACTACTTAACCATAGTTTTTTAGGTTCCTAAGTAAATTATTTCGAAATGTTGTACTGATAAAAAAGGATCCTATGGGGTCACTTGGTGTCATGTTATTTTTAAGCTGATTACTGTAATTCTCAAAAATTGTTTAAACGAAATGGCAAATCATCATCATTATCATTCATCATTACAGCTCTTCACAAGTCCACAAGTGAACATAGGCATTCCCCAAGGAATGCCATTAAGCACGGTCCTGAGCCACCTGCATCCATCGACTTCCTGCGTGTCTTACCAGGTCGTCAATAAAAAAAAAACAAATATAAAATGACACCATAAATTGGTGAACTGAACATTAAAATAATATGAAACCGTGCATTTAACATTGGTAATTCGTTGGTAACAAAATTCAAAAAAAAATAACCAAAAATAATAAGTCTACCAGAATTTGTGAGAAATTCAAAACAGAGTGAAATAAGTTAATTTTAAATAGAACATAATTAAATATAAATATTATGCTATTACAACATCATATAAATTGTCTGTTAATTAACCTAATTTGATTATCAATGTGAGGTAAGCAAATTATTATTTTTATTACTTTACTGGTTTTAATAAGCCCCAGTGAGCATTTGGACATAAGAACACTTATCCGGGTTTAAATTTAGCAATAAAAGCTTTTAAATTAAATCCAAAGTTTCATCATAACTTAAAATTGGTATCGGCAGATGCATAAATAAGTAAATTCATTAGAATACGAGTATGTCGCCCGTAAGTGCCGTAAGAGGCGATGGGGAAGACATAATATCTAATGGCCAATAAGATCTAATGGCCTCCAACATATTTCGGTACAACTATCTATTATATACCAGGAACAAACCGTATAGTGTAGGTAGGTGTAATAATATCCACTACCCCATATGTATACATGAATATGGGCTCGCGGGTGCTGTGAGGGGCGACAGAAAGAACAAAAACAGATGCTTTGACAACTCGGTAGCGCTCGTTCGAATTCCTCACGGAACAACTATTTGTACGGCCTTCAAGTAATAGTTCTGAGTCAGGATGATTGTTCACATGTAGTATTTCTATAATGTAAAACGTCAGTGTGGTAACCTCTTTAAAGAAATAATAGTAGCGTGAAGCCTTTAATTGAGCTGAGGGTGTTATTTGCATGACATTAATATATGAAGAACCATTTTTGAAATTTTTGTTTTCTGTCTGCCAGTCCGCATGTCTGTTAAGGCTATAGTAGGTACGAAATAGCTGAACTAATTGTTATGAAATTTCACGAACAAATAGCGAGCAACACCAGAAATGATATAAGCTATAGTTTATCTCGATAGCTTTGAGTGTTTTTTTTTGATATGGAGTGTAGTGGTAAGGAGTAGAGACTCTGTATTAAAAAGTGTCCGTAGGAAAGCGTTAAATAAGGGTGGCGCCACTGTAGCTACAGTCTAAATTTTAAAGAACTTTCTATAATTTTTTATTGCACATACTTTCACCATAATTCTTTTTGAAATAATTATTTTATTGCTTTCAAAATTTTTATTTTCAAAATCACTCTTAACGTATTTGACGGCGATTTATTATACCCTGTAGCTACTCGAGCGCTGTTGTGGAGAATTTTTGAACTGTTATTTACTGCTTACAGATGGACACGTCTTCAACTATTTTCCTATGGGAGATTGTCCTCCTTACCTCTATACTCCATGTTTTTTGAGAAATCGAAAAATTGAATAAATGATGACTATCTCAAATCTATATAACACCACATCAAATAGATCCGACCCGGACGAAGTCGAGGCGAGTCGCTAGTTAGTAAAATATTAAAAGGAAAGCAGGTTACATTCATAATGTGTACCTACAAATGTTGTTTTTAGATCACACGTTAGTTAAATGGGATATTGTCTTGATGACCTATAATGATATCTGGCAACATCTTGGGGTCAAATGTGTCAAAGAGTATTATGATGCTTTATCATTAAATATTAAACATAATTACAAGACATATAAGGTTCATAATGTTGTGTTATTTATGGATATCATCATCCATTGTTAAATAAGTTTAAATAAAATAAGTTTAGTGCTTAGAATAATAACCGTAAAAATAACCTTCAAAACGGTTTTTACTTATTCACTTAATACATCCTTATTTTAATTAAATCTAACTATAAAAAAAATAATTTTTTTCTTTTTTTATTTTTACACATAGATATTTTTTTTTTTTTTTTTTTTTTGATACTAAATTTTAAATTACTTTTGTTTCTCAGCGGATATCCTCGTTACGGATTTTTCCTCACAGATTATGAAATAATATATTTTTCTAACTACAAGAATCATAACTTTTAATGTAGATATTATTTATGTAGGTAGTTCACCTCGTCGGTCTTTCCCAAAGATTTAACTCAAGCATCTCCCTGTTAACAACTGAAAATATTAAGAAACTGCGGCTGCCAATCCTTTTTAGGAGGATATATTATGATAAATATAATAAAATAAATAAAATCTTAAGCATATATCCATTGCATAGCATAGAAGTTAAAAAGAAAACAAAAGAATGGCTGAAAACTTTAAATTACAACGAAACTGAAACACTTTTAGAACTTGTTATTTATAATTAATAATTTATTAAATATACAACACCTCAATATGCACAGCCACATACACATACACATACACTACACATTTACACAACTAACATCTACAGATATTTTATATTTTATTTTAAAAATATTTTAAGTTTTAATATAAGTTATACTATAAGTCAAAAATCTAAGTGTTATCCTAGTTCTAAACACTGATTTATATGAATGAAAGACGGGAAGAACGGAGCCTCGTAACACAAGTTTCCTAACTTTAGGAGTGTTCCAACAATATATTTATTTTTAAGCATTACTGGAGCGAAAATAAAGATTTTTGATTTGATTGATATGCTAGTTACTAAGCGAGGCAACTCGCATATATCCTCCTGAAGAAGACAATCTTTTAGAGGAGACCTATTTTCAACGGTAGACTTGATAATGTTAATGTAGAATCACAGAAATACTAATTGTCTTATTATTACGATTTCTGTATGTAGAATAAATAGCTTTCTCGTCCGTACCGAAGCACAGATTAAATAATGTTACTACTACGAAAACTGAAGGAACTATTTTCGACAATGTTGATAATTTAATTTTTATACGAATCATTCTTGCTAATTTATTTAAAACAATGTGTGTTCACCATTCTTTTAAACAAATTTTAACAGGTTTTCCTTGTTTTGATATCAAGAAAAGTTTACTTGTATTCGAATAGTCTAATAGTGAGAAAAGTTTACCTACTTGTATTTAGAATTCTATTTTTTTCGCCGATATCCGATAGTGTATTTAAAAGACAAAGTTTAAGTTTTACCTAAATCAAAAAAGTAGTAAAGCGTTTAATAAATTTAAACATTTTGACGTAATTATATACTGCGAAACGCATACCTGTCGTTATTAAAATAGGTAAAATTAACATTGCAAGTTTTTTAATAATATAATTCACAGACTTACATCATGCATATTTGAGTCGATGAAGAAATATTTTATTAGATATTTGCGAAACCATAAAACAGTAATTTGTTATGTTTCATGCAAGTAAAAACAATTGAAGAGTCTTAATTGCAGCTTTCGTTGCGCTTTATATAATTAAACTTTTAACATTTTGTATGCGTAGTTATAATATAACATTAGGTAAGTCATATGTAATTTTTCTTATTTACGGCAGCTAATCTGTGGGGTCAGCCAAGATGATATTCTACAATCATTAACGCGCTAGTAGAGAACTAAGAAATGAATGGGAATTACTTAGGAACGTTAAGTCACATGACAGTCATATGATTTGCGTTGATTTCATGCATTTTAATCACTGACCTCTATATACAAGTACGCTGGACTGGCTATACCATACAAAATGTCTGTGCCGATTTGAAGCGCCACCATTTTCCGTACCGGGAACTAAAATTGATATAATATGCCAAAGTATGTTGTCTTATTTAAATCATATCTCTGTATTTCGAACTTTTAAACTAAAAAACGTACGTATTTTGTGTGGTTTCACTGTGTATAATTTTAGTTACATAA